ATGAGGGGACTTCAAAAAAAATTCATTTACAAAATGGAGTTGAAAGATAATGAAATTTTCCCAAGTTTTTGGAAACTTCTTCATGAAACAAGTATGAGTATGACACATTTCAATGTATTTCAATGCATAATATATTTACGCTAAAAGTAAACTATTTATTTATATCAAACCACAGCAACCATTCTAGCAAAGATATCACAATCCACAGAACCTAGTATCAGTTCAACAACATGCTGAAAATGAATTGCTTAAACGTAATTTTTTAAAAAAAGGCTTTACTCCTTTTATAGCTAACAATGAGTTTATCCACTAAGGCTCCATTTTAAGTTTTATCACAGCCAAATTGTTGTTGTTAGGTGCCACAGGTAAATTAAATGCTCTTAATTAACGTCCCTCAATTCTTGTTGGAGTCAGATGAACAATGACCATAATATCTAATCACTCAATGGGCAAACAGAAGACTTCCAACCTACCTAGCTATTTTCTATGATAATAACTTTAGTAAATAGATAATAACATATAAGCTTAAAGCATGACAAAAAACCTATCATGCTGTCCTTTGTTGTTGTTGTTATATGTTGTCAAGTGGATTCTGACTCACAGCGACTCTTTCTGTATAGGATTTCCAAGGAGCAACTGGTGGGTTTGAACTGTTGACCTTGCGGCTCACAGTCTAGTACTTATTCTACAGTGCCATAGCGTGAGTCCTTAATAAACTATAAATTAATTTTATTACTGTGATAAATTAGCTTCTTCCCTTAGCAAAAAGTTATAAAGAGAAATAGTATTCTTCACTTAGAAAGTGGTAAACAAATCTCCTCCAGAACACGTACTCAAATTCAGCAGAGAAAATCATTCCTAAAACCTAAAACAGCTATCAAAAATCTCCTGACCCAGATCTGTCTTCCTCCCAATTTCTAGACTTCTCTTTAATTCCCAATTTCTTACAAACATAATTGAAACAACCTAGATTATAGGGTGGGAAGGGGTAGAGGAACACACAGGTCATCTATAGACACTTGTGTTCAAAATAAACGACAGCTTGGAGTCTAATAAAATGACATCATAGAGGATGACGTTTTATGCAAATAATGCGCACAATACACAGGCTTTTTTGCAGTTCATGTGATCCCTTCATGTATTAGTGTCCTATGCACACTAGGCATGTGCGTGTTGTATCCATAGTTACATGTGGAAAGAAAAACATGGTAGGAGTTTAAGATAAACGACTATGAGTCAAATCAAATCACAATTATTTATGGGGTGTCTAATCTGTAGCATAGTGGTTGCAAATCTGGCTGCAAACCGCAAGGTCAGCAGTTCAAAACTACCAGCTGTTCCCTGGGAGAAAGGTCCTCATCTTTCTGCTCCTGTAAAGATTTACAGTCTCGGAAACCCTATACAGGGTCACTATGAGTCCAAACCGACTCCACGGCACATAACAACAACAACAATCTGTATAAGGAATCCTGGTGCGGCTTTGTAGGATAAACACTAAACTTCTAACCACAAGGTTGGTGGCTTCAAACCCATCAGGTGCTCCTTGGAAACCCTATACAGGGTCGCTATGAGTCAGGACTAGCTCTACGGCACTTAACGATAACCTGTGTAAAGGGAGCATGGTGGCTTTGTAGAAGTACTAGACTGCTAACTACAAGTTCAGCAGTTCAAGACCACCAGTTGCTTTGTGGGAGAAAGATGAGGCTTTCTGCGCCTGTAAAGATCTACAGCATTGGAAATCTTATACAGGGTTGTTATGAGTCAGAACCAAATCAAAAGCATTTAACAACAACCTGTGTAAGGCACTTACTTCAAAATCCCCAGGCTGCAGTGGTATGCATAATTTAGGAGCTATGTGGGAAAACCATTCCCAGCAGTCAGTCACCCAGACACAGACAGCCCTGTAGTAAGCGAGCGAGAGTGGACTGAGGAATTACTGGAGCACTATAGTTCAGCTGTCAAGTCAGTCCCTACTCCTGGTAACACTACGAGTTGTTGTTAACTGCCATCAAGTCGGTTCTAACTCACAGTGACCTTGTATAGGATTTCTAAGGACAAGGAGGGTTTGAACCGCTGACCTTCTGTTAGAAGTACAGTGCTTATCCTATAATGCCACACCAGGACCCCTATTATTATTGTTGTTAAGTGCTATTGTTGAGTTGGTTCTGAATCACAGAGACCCTCTATAGGGTTTCTGAGGAGCAGTTGGTGGGTTTGAACTGCAGACTTTGTGGTTCGTAGTCCACTGTTGATTCCTATAGGACAGATTAAAACTGCTCCATAGGGTTCCCAAGGCTGCAAACCTTGGAAAAGTCTTGAAGTGGACTGCCTCATCTTTCTTCCATGAAATGGCTGGTAAGTTTGAACTGTCAGCCTTAGTAGCCAAGGTTTAATCCACTGCCCATCAGAGCTCCTTTGACAGCCTTTTAATGGGAAGGAAATTGAAATTAAGCAATGCTTCATTAGCAACTTGGGCAATACTTGGGGCTCTCAGATACCCAGTAGTAATTCAATAGCCATTCAAGAGCACATTATGTGCAGGTGCCAGGAAGGAACCAGACCTAGGCCGTGCCCTTTGGTGTAATGCAAGCAGAGTACAACTTCTTCTTGAGATACTATGCAATAGACAAGATAAATGAACACTGGAATGTTATTATAACTGAGGAATATGCTGTCATGGAAGTGGGGGATGTTTGTTCTCAAGTAAACGAGTCACTGAAAAGATATAACTTGAGCCAAGATGTTGAGTCTGAGTGAGAACGAGCCAAGGTGGGATGGGAAGGCAACATTCTAGAGAATGTCAATCCAGTTGGTCAATAAATATTAACTGAACATACACTACGCTTCTCTTCTTCAAGTACAATTTTAAACAAGACAAAATCCCTGCCTTCAAGGAGTATGCATTCTAGCAGGGGAAGGCAGACAATCACCATAAGTACACGTACACAAATACCTGAATGAGAATTTTAGATAGTGAGGAAAATAAAGCAGATCAGTAGAACAGTGACAGTTGAGGGGAGCGGGGCATCTACTTAACTAAGTAGGTCTTAGAGGGCCTCTCTCAGGTCTCATTTAACCTGAGATCTGAGTGATGAAAAGAAGGAACTCAAACAAAGATGCTGGGAAAAGAGGACTCTAATTAGACAGAGTAGCAAAAACAACACAGTCAACAGGGGAAGACTGGTAGGAAACTCGTCAAAGTCGGCAGAGGGAGAGAATTACTAACTGGTATTTCACCAAAAATCTGCTTTCTCTTCATCCTGGGATGTGCCTAGTCTGCACCTCTTGGCCTCCGCTCAAATTAGACAGAACTGGATTCTGGACAATGAAATAGAAGCCAAAAATGAGGGTGCTATTTGAGGGCCAACACTTTTAAGATGCCCACACTTTCTCCTTTTCTGTAAACAAGATACACAGAGTAACTAATTAGGCCCTAGGGAAGGGACTCCTGATGTGGTGCCGTAGGATCAGCACTGAACTGAGAACCACAGGGTGGGCAGCTCAAGGTTGAACCACCAGGGTGCTCCTTGGAAACCCTACACAGGGTCACTATGAGTCAGACCCAACTCGATGGCACTTAATAACAGGGAAGGGAGGTATACTGAGGTGCTATTAACAAACACAAAAATCTGGATGAGGTGAGAAGAATTAACTGCTCCATTTTAGTTACGTTGTTTGCATTAGCCATAGAGTCTTCAACTAGAGATGTCAAGTAGACATTTGGGCATATGAGCTTAGAACCCAAAAGACAGAGTTAAAGATATGTAGTTTGGGCTCATCATAAAAATACAGGATCATTATGAGTTGGAATGACTTGACTGCAGTGGGTTGGGTTTGATTTTCATAAAGAGAATGTTTATAGCTATTAAATATTAGTTTTAATATTCAAATATCAAATACTAGATTAGTTCTCTTTACTTCTTCACTCACTCTCCTATAGGAGGCCCCCAGATGGTACAACTAGTTAAGTTCATGACTACTAACCAAAAGGCTATGGTTTGAACCCACCCAAGGCACCACTGAAGAAGTCCTGGCAATCTGCTTCTGAAAAGTCATAAAAACCCCATGGAGCACAGTTCTACTGTGCAATATACAAGATCTCCATGAGTCAGAACCAACTCAACAACAACTGTTTGGGTTTTGAGTTCTGTTTTGACCCTCCTACCAGAGCCCGCAGTTACACGGCCGTCTACAGTCTGGCTTCACTTGCCTTGCTCAACCCTTTCGCTGTACTTGCTCCTGTGGTCCCACCTCTTCACGGTGCCAAGTACAGTGAGACCCTGGAGAGCCGGAACTTTGATGGACTGCCTTGCTTTACCAGGTCTCTGAAGTTTGCCGCCTTTGACAGGGTATATAGTCTTACCACTTTTGTATCACTTTGTTTTAGAGAAAAAAATTGAGTTTTCCTTCTCAGATTGGTTTCTGCTTTGCACAGGTTCTGGATTTCATAGGTTTTACTATTATACTATCCATTCTTTAGGGTCCATGTCAGACTCAGTTCTGTCAAGACTTCCCTACCACCAACCAACCTTGAGGTAATCTCTCCATTTTCTGCATTTGCCAAGTAGTTCTTTTCTATACATCTAATTTAGAACATGATAATATTCTGCCTCTGTCACTTCATTGAGTGCCTTAATGTTCATTCCCACATATTTGCTCAATGTTCCAATGAGATAAGACAGTTTCCCTAGCAGGACAAAGTGCAAATTACCCTTCTTTATACATATGTCCCGCAGGGCCCTAGTGTAAGTGCCATGCATATGCTGAGCATTCAAGGAATATTTATTTGATTTGGCATCTTTATAAAGGCAATAAGGTAGTTAAGATTTTATGGGATATTTTCACCTAAATGAAACAAAGCAAAAGTCATACTTTAAGAAGGTATTTATAAGTCAATTATTTGGAAAAACAACTAATTCCAAACAGTTCACTCTCCAGCAAGGCTGACTAGTATTCAAACTGTGTTCAAAATGTAAAAACTTAGCTCCAAGTGAACTTACCGATATCAATATCAGTAAACCCTTCTGCACTTACTGCGTCCATTGTGCTTTTGTCTATTGTGTCTAGACAGAGACTAGCAAGTTGAGGTTCATCAAATAATCGAGCCTAAACATATAAAAAGAGAGTTATTTTTCCTACAGACTACAGCTATTCAAATGTGATACTGTAAACAGTTGTATAACTGTTCTTTACACTACAGCAATATTTAAGATACAATCCTACAATCTCTCCCAAAAACTTTTCATTCCACAACCAGAAATGAATCAAAAACCACATGTCCTGCTGAGATTACACATTCACATTACTAATAACAACCCTGTTATTTTTCTTTCTTTATATATGCATTGCCTATTCCTTCTAAGTTGCCTCTTTTGAGTCTTAGTGAGCCCTCTATGATATATAAGGCACATTATTATCCCTATTTTGCAGATGGGGAAACAGAGGCTCAGAGAGGAGTACTAGCTAAGTTAGCTAGTTATGTTTCAAAGCTAGTACTTATATCCAAGTCTTATGATATTTTCACTAATTGTCAAACACACAAATAAAAACAGACCAGATTTGTTTTTTCCATTTCCTGTTTTGATTGGGGAGAGCAGAATGGAGTTAAAAGAACTTTAAAGCCTGAGAGTTCTGGAATTCTAAAGAGGCCTAAGGGAAAATTAGACCTAGCAACAGAAGAACAGCTAAGCAAATTCACAGGATAGACTGTTAACCAATCCTGAGAACGAACAATCTACATCTGTGTATAATAATATGGATGAATCTCAGAAATACAATGAGCAAAAGAAGTAGGATATATACTGAGCAAAAGAGAACCTACTCTATAATGATTCCAGAAAAGCTACTGTAGGCTTTAGGAAACCCGGAGTCAAGTTGTACACTTATGAGCTGTGCTTTATTTATGAAATGGGGTGGTGCTGTACGATCAGCACTGGACTCGTGTTAACTACAAGGTCGATGGTTCAAACCCACTAGCTGCTCCTTGGAAATTCTATACAGGGCCGCTGTGAGTTGGAACTGATTGAACAGCACATAACAACAATAACCATGGACTGTCAGAAGAAGAAGGAAATCTGTTCTGAAAGAAATACAGAAATACAGCCTTAGAAACAAGGATGGTGAGACTTTGTATCTTGTACTTCGGACATGTTATCAGGAGGGGCTAGTCCCTGGAGAAGAACATCATGCTTGGAAAAATGAAGGGTCAGCGAAAAAGAAGGTGTCCCTTAAACTAGCTGGACTGGCACAGGGCTAGCAACAACAGGCTCAAACATAACTGTGAGGATGGCACAGAACCTGGCAGGTTCATTCTGTCCCACCGGAACCCACTCAGTGGCACTGAACAACATCAGCATGTATATTGTCACTTAAAAAGTTTTTTTTAAAAAGGACAGGCACTGAAGGTCAAGCAAAAAATGGGATGAAAACAATTCACAACACTGAAAAAAGTAGTCATGATACTGGCACACCAATGAGCAACCTTTCACTCTGGTCCAGGGTCAGTTCTGTTTGTCTTCAACAGCTTAGGAACACCCATGAGAATAAGCATGAAAGGCAAAGCGGAATTCTCTCTGGGTCATGTAGACAACTGCTGAACATGTGGTCACTTATTTAAGCATACCATAAACAACAAGATTATTTGGCAAGACTGATAATAATTTAAAGAAAAGCCCATTTTCAAATGATTCAATTATCAATCACTACTGAACACCAACCAAAATCCCCAAACAGTCACTCTGCATTTTATGGGGGAGGAAAAGTCAGCAATAAACACACTGGATTTAACAATACACAGTTTTTAAATCAATGGAACATTTTATTAATTATAGAGTATTTCAAATATGTTTGGAAATGCTCTACATTGAGCCACTTTGTAATATTTGCTTAGTTAAAAATTTAATAAAGTTTAACCCTTAGCAATAAAATAATCTGTATTACTACACTTAACTCTTTTAGGAGCTGCCCCCAATTTTTTTTTTAATTTTAAAAATTCAAAAAAGTTGTAAGGAGAATGAGAAAAAAAAAAATACCCACACACCCTTGATTCAGGTTTTATCTCTCTAAATGCCATCTCTCTAACGTTTGATCTATTTACATTATCATTTGTCTTTCTTTTTGTGTGTGTACATATATGTGTGTGTGTGTGTGTGTGTGTAATAAGTACACGAGTGGTGCTGTAGGATAGACACCAGATTGCTAATCTCCTCAAGAGATGAGACTTTCTGCTCCTGTAAAGATTTATAGTCTTGCAAACCCTATATAGGGTCACTATGAGTCGGAACCGATTCCAACACTACTACCACCGGGAGTAGAAATCGACTCGATGGCAGTGGGTGTGTATAATATGTATCTCCCCCAACCCCTATTTGAAGCATTTAAAGAAAAGGTTGTATATGTCACAAAGAGAGCATTCTTTATGCTTGGGGAAAGTATTTAAGGCCCTTTATTTTCCCTTTACACACTTTCACCAAGCATAAAAGATATTCTCTTTAGGCTTGGACAAAGTATGTAAGGGTAGTGGTGGTGGTGGTAGTGAGCTGTGGAGTCGTTTC